CCGACACCATGTTCAGCTGTTCAAGCTCAGTCGGGGTTGGAAAGATAATAAACTTGGTCTATCATCTGAGATTATTTCATTACCCGTTCATAATTATAACCAGGTTTCTTGGTGTGCTGTATCCACACTGGTATCCGTACATCGCCGAACACACCCTCCACATCGTTTTCGGCTTGTGGTTGCTGGCCTCCCTGATCGGCTTTCTACTTGTGCAGAACTCGATCAACTGGCTGTACTTCCACCCGCTCAAAATGAACTGGGTCTTACTGCGACGAGACGCCTTGTATCTCGCCATGGCTACTTACTGGACCGTGTTGCCGGTCATCTGCGGAACCGCTTCGTTGGCTCTTTACCTCTGCTGCGTATGGATTCTGGCCCGTCGTGCCAAACGAATCAAGAACACATCTGTGCCGCAAACAAGACAGGCCGGTAAAAATCTCATCGTCGTGGGTCTCACTACATCTGTCATACTTCTGCTGGACACGCTGTTTTGGAGAATTAACGTAAACTATTCTCTCAAGATCATCTGGTGGAGTAGCATTTCGCTCAGTTTCATAGAAGTTGTACAGAGCAGCTCAGACGCTTTGTTGATCCTGCTGATCTGTCATGAAATCCGTAGCAAAAGCTTTATCTTCAAGCGTTGCTTTTTAATCGAAACTCTGTCTCTTTGTCCTTCGGTGAAAAATTTTCAGGCAGTGAATGTCCGATCTTGACCGTGATTACAAAACAGCACTAAACGCATGCAAATGAAAACTCAGTTCCGTGGCGGCATTACAACGTGCAATGTTTAACAATGGGTCGTCTCATTGCACGCTGTTCTCAATGTCGCGATGTTCTATGACTTTTTGGATCTTTGGCCTACTACGTATACGGTGCTCTTCTCACCGTTGCAATTGCGACTGTTTCACATCCACGTATGCATTTGGCAATAGACGGCATATTTGTTTTTTATTAAAGAATCGAACTTGCCATATTATGCAAAATCTGCTGCTGTTCACGTTATTGTTCTTAACTCATCATTCTTCAAAATGATCATCTAACATGTAAACTATAAACGCGAAATAGCTAGCACTGGTTAAAAGTATTCTTAGCTTCAAAGTACTCGAAATGTCCTTCAGTGTTGCATCAAATGGAAACTGCTGAAAACGCATCATCATCTCGAGCCATTTGCATTAACACAAAGTCTCTGGTTTGTCATTTTTCTTGCATTTGCGACTTTTCAGCACTTTTGCCATCACACGTTACTGAAACGTAGAAAGAAACATTCTTTTCCGAAAGTTGATCTTAATTTACGTTATTTCTCCCCGTTGCACACTGCTTTCTTCTGTGCCAAAACCTGAGACCGTTTCTTTCTGGAATGGGAGGACTTGACGGGTGCCGTTCGACACTCATTGAGAACGCCCAGTTCTGTGGCGCGACTTTCAATCTACATAACTGGACTGTAGTCAGCTCGATTAACTGTTACATCCAGTCCACCGTATTACGTATCCGTCAGAAGCTATCCCTGAGCATAATGTGAAACATCTGTCAAACTAATGAATTTCCAAGGTTTCGCGTTTTATTTTTAGAGTTCATTTTTCTACCAGCGAGAACTCATTAATTCAGCGCGCATGGTGCGGTAACGAGTTTGACTATTAATCAGCAGATATTCATTATTTGCATCTTAATGAATAGCACCCTCTGAGGACAATACTAAGGTTTTCACTGAGAGCCCAATACCAATCCACCGTCAAACTTATGAGTTTTCAATATTTCTGTTTCATTTAATGGTGCCATGGTATAATTGCGCAAGGTCGTTAATTTGGAGCGCAGTAATGTTAATCCCAGTGTAAACTGACACTGTCGGTTCAGCTACTGCTGCTTACAATAAGCAATGAATTGTACCAGAGTACGGGAAACACTAGCCATTGAGTATATCCAGGATGTTCGCCATGCCGCTTCCAAAACGAGACTGGCAGAAGTTTTCATCAGAGGGCTCTTGCCGTGTCTCTGACAGGAACAGCGCTGACGGAACAAAGAAATTTTGGCGCTGTAAACAGAAGGGTCGATGCAAGGCAAAGATGGACACAGGAGGTTTAAGTGTTGTCATGAAGATTGGTGACTATTCTCATGATAGTTCGACGACGGGTGTGGAAATAGAAAAATTTGTAACGAAGATCAAAAAATGTGCCGAAGACAGCATGGTACCAGTGCAAGTTATAAACGAGTGCACGGTTGGATTGCCGCAACGGGCTCAGGGTTAACTTCAAATTCTTCGAGCACTTAGGGAGATTATAATATGAAGCAGAAATGGAGTGAACGCCGCTTCATTGGCTCTCATGAATCCAGATACACTAATCATGCCGATGACATATAAAAGACATGTCGCCACCAGGTTTCTTTGAATCGTCGTTGATTGGCGAAAATGGATTTGAGGTGCCAATCGAGTGCTGAATTTTGGCACATAGGGTTACCTGCAAATCTTGCAACAAGCAAGAATTAGGTTTGCTGGCGGAACATTTCAACCTGCATCGCCACCGTTCTCTCAAGTCTATACAGTGTTGGTAGAAAGGTTTGGTTGTGTCGATCCTGTTGTTTAAGAGCTTTCACCTGAGAATCAAACAACGACGTACCATATGCTCTTTCAGATGTTGACAGCAGTTGTGCCAGAACTTCATCCAAATTCGATTTATTGTGAATTCGAAATTGCGCCAGTGTATGTGATGAAGAACACATTTTCATATGTTCAAATATATGCTTGTTACTACCATCTAAATTACAAGATATTGAAGCATTTGGGCGAACTGCGTTTGCTTGCTGCGTACAACGCCGACGCTGATTTCGCTTTGAGCGACGATGATAGTAGCATTAACGTTTGTAGTCATTGCTGCATTGGATGAAGCAATCGACCGGCTGACTGAAGACCTACCGAAGAAACTGCAGCCGCTCCTTCAGTGTTGGAAGACATCTCCGTCGGTCGCTGGAACTGTAAAGGAAATGCGAAACGTCCGCCGCGATTTTCATCAAAAACATGGTCGCCTTATCGTAGGGTGGTCAACAGCGAACGCTATTCGAGCAGCAACGCAGAATCAGCTCAACGACGAATTCAGACCGACTTGGTAATTTCACACTCGTCCATATGGAAGCTAATTGACCGGTTCCGTAAAGTGTTGAAAAATCATAAAACATACCACAGAGAACTTGCTTCCGGTCATCAACCACCAGTAAAGTTCAAGAAATGTCGGGATGCGGACGAAAGAATAATATCTGTTATGAATAACTGAATAACGTACATGATTTCTTCATGCAGCAAATGATATAAAGCCTTGGTAAGGGACAGACGGGCAGACAACGCATAAAATGTTCTTTAATTAGGGACATCTGACTTTTTGGACCAATTTCGGCCCGTCTTCAGAGTGTCATTCATTGTACTACTCTGAAACGCAGGAAAAGCTGTCACAACTTCGTTTGTTATCCGTCTAACTCTTTTGCAATTCAAATGGTCATTATTCATTGAGATTAAAAAGCTGCCACAGGCGGCATTTATTTATTGCATTGAATATGGAACCTTCGTTTTTGTTTTTGGAGCCTTACAGATTATAGATGTGATTGCTCGTTTAAAAGAAACGATGTTTCTCCATGGATTTCTACATAATGTATGGCAGAGGCAGTAGAGTCATTAATCCTCGACGGGTTTTGCAGTTTTATATCACACCGAGTTTTTACAAATGATTGTCGATGTTTTGACTGTGTATTACGATCAAAAATGCTTACAGGTATTTGTTTGATTTAGCAACAGTAGTCCCGCAGTCGCAGGTCGATGATTACGGTAATTTCAGCATTCTTGATGCTGAAAATAGTAGCATTGCCTTTCTGAACAAGTAGTTGTCGAATTCTTGAAATGAACGCAAAAATGTAGGGAGGATTGAGACACGCTCCACATGACAACGACATGTGTGAATAAACGTCCTGCGGGGTACAGTTAAGTTTGCGACATGATTCGTGATATTATCGGATCCAGCACTTTCAATCTTTTTAAATTCATTCTCATTTGTTCCTCCTAATCCACCAATCACCGTACTGTTCCCTTTTGTAGACGTTATTTTTCAACAAAATCTACTGTCGGTTCTTCGACAGGACGTCCCTCAATTCTGAGCGTGCAATAAAGCTCCAAAGAGCGCCATGGTGGATTTCGACAATCATTTGCACGATATGAATGCTACGTAAAGATTATCAGTAGAGCTATATAGATGACCAAGATCAAATTGAAGATCTAAGCCGTAGCTATAAAGTACTGTTTTGGTTGTGGACAAGCATTAAGCTTGTCCAATGAAGATTATTAAGTAAACTTATTTATTTAAATCGCTTCGAAGGATAGAGCGGATAACAGGCAACATCTGGAAATTCTAGTATTTCCATTTGAGCTTTACCTAAGGAAGAGGCTCATAGCTAATTTGATTAGTTCGCTGAACAAATACGAACAAAACACAACAACTAGCAACTGTTTGTAATTAGAGTTAGTAAATTAACGCCTGCAATTTTGTGTCCAACATCAAGCAGCTATCTTCAAGATAAATGCTCGCTGTAAAGAAAGTTGTATTCCTGCAACAGTATGAAGGTACAAATATGAAAATTCTGGTGACATTCAGTTGAACATGCCTCGAGCAGATAACAGCAATTTCCTCATTAAGGTTGTTTATCTGAGGTCGACTGACAAACCATGAATAATTGATTGTGTCGTCACTTGGTTGATTAAGTGCCCACTGACATTAACGCTTGCTGTTTATCAACTTGTTCTAAATATTGATTCCGTAGATACCTGGATGCTAATTAATGCAAGATAACATTATCTACTATTCTATTGTAGGATACTGTAAGATAGAATAGACGCTGTAGCTGCTAATGCAATCCTTGTCTGTGTAACAAAGGAAACACGCATCTCTTTTGCTTGTTGAAATATAGTATTCAAAATGCAAGAAAAGTGCCAGAGAAAGAAACAAATAAGCACAATACGTTTATCAGCCGCAGTACAATATCCTATTAATAATAATTTTGGGGGCATTTGGAACAGCACAACGTCTTCCTCTGCTCGAAGAGTAAGTGCTGAAGTGTAAAATGCCATGTCACTTTTCTAGGCCTACGTAAAAATGGCTAGTTACGCCAGCTTCGATGTCCCCGTAAAAATCGCTCTAATTTTCCGTCCCTGCGGTTCATAAAGTCATCGTTCAGTGTTCAGCCTTTTCAAGACCCCTTGTTAGCTCGGTGATTCTCCCGAAAATTATGGCTTATGCTTAGATTCAGATCAAGAATAATTCCACCTACACGATTACGTTGCAGAGTCGTAGGATATGCTCGAGTACGGTTGAATTCGTATTCCAAAGCAGTTATACTAACCTAGCGTTGGTATCTCATCACCAACTTCTAAGAGACTGGCTAACGATGTTCCGACAGCGATCCTTATGCCTGGGACAACGGACTTCGTAGAAATACCAATGCTCAAACGGATGTGCAGCATCAACAGGAATTATCAAACCCTGAATATCTTCATAATGTAACTATAGCTAGCTAGCCCCAATGTTCTCAAAAACAAGTTTCGCAATCTGGTCACGCAAAAAGCCCGAAAGAATCACACGAAACAATGATTTTACCAGGGAAGAATAAAACGGAACAGAAGATGGAACGATGCTACAATGAGTAAGCAGGAACTGTGGGACTGACCTAAAATATGACCAAGGATTTAAAGAACAAAGTGGAAACCGACTCATACGATGATCTCCTCCCCCTCCCCTTTTCCCGGCTAACTAATAAGCTACGAACCTGTAGTTCCATCTGTTATGCTGATTCCTTAACAGCAAGGTTCTTTCGAGGAGGTGATTATGTAGTATCTCATGCATATTATAAGATTAATCTAGGAATCCATAAATTAAAACCGCCACGTTGTTTGACATTGCAGAAAGAAAGCGAGTTCTTTTTATGTAAAGAAAACAAAAAGCTGAATAAGTTTGATGAGAAGCGAAACAAAAAATATTTAATTTTAAAAGAACATGCATTATTTTTGTTCTCTGGTAAAATATATTTTAAGCAGAATAAATCATTAGACGCGATGCCCTTCTTTTTACAATCAACGTAACTGGCGATCAGTCATCAAATCCCAGTAGACCAAAATGAATTTCCACGGTTATGGTCATAATAAAAATGTATATTCCTGGGCCCATCTTTTGAAAGAAGTTTCGCTTGCAACTCTCATGAGCTAAGCGCGAGACGTAAGCAAGAAGAACCTCGGCGATGAGTCCAAATATATCCTGGCATTACTGACAAGCAACATCATGCACAATTTCCGGTTCAAATTTGATCAGCTTATTACTGTACTCGATTAACTCGTCTACAGACACGCGACCCCGCTGAATGATAAACTTGGCCACCGCCTTCATTTCGTCTTCCGTTATATAAATGAATTTTCCGCGATCATCGATAACACCGGAAATGATGCCGTCAGCCAAAAGCTGGTGCAGCCGATCAATCGCTGCCTGAGATCGCAATTTGAAATGTGCAGCTAGTTCGTCAATGTTCACAACCTACCAAAAGCACAAACATAAATTATAAACAAAAAAATCTACTTGTATACCTTTGACTCTTTTATGTAATTAACGAACCGCCGAAACACGTTGTTCTCGTCCAAACTCTGGTCCGCTTCACAGCCTTGCTCCTCGATGGTAAATTCAGCCTTAAGTTTCAAATACTCCTCATATTCTCTCTGTTTCTGTTCTTCAATCAGTTTTTTGCGTTCCTCCTCTTTAGCAAGCTCTGCCAACCTCTCCTGTTCTTCTTTTTTCTTTTCCATCTCTGCTCTTTCCGCTTCTCTGTGTTTCCTTTCTTCTCTTTCTTGTAATTCCTAAACGAATTCCTCTATAATTTGCCTTAAGCGAAGAAAAACAAGCAATGGAACAATCATTGAACATCATAAAGAATTCTGCAATAAATTCCATTTAAACTCACTCCTCGTAAAAAATGAATAACAGTCAAAGTAGACGAGGTTTAAACATCATGATTTTCTCTCACAGGAAAAGACAAAACATGGCCATTCTCAAACGATATCGCTCTGTAATGTGGAGCCCCAAAAACAAGTGAATGAGAATCGTATGAAGTAGACAGATTACGTGACGCTCGATGTTCTAGTAATGACATAAAAAACAGTACAAGCTAAAATGTGACATTAATGAAAGCACAAGCAATGGTAGTGGTGCGCATTTTCACTAAAAATGCCACTGGTTACACCATTAGCTAACTGAATCTGTAGTGCGAAATATACCAAAATTCGATATCATTATCCGAAAGTGCCACCCCGATATAAGAACAATATTTAGCTTTGGGAAAGCTTAACGTACAGTCTGTTGTACGCTGTAAGACTCAACCTTTTACCTTCCCGAAATGAAAAACGAACAGAGCCTAGAGCAAATTCTTTGAATTATTCACCTTTACTTAAAAGGAAAGGAATAGACTGTGATCAAGAAGATGCTGAAGAAAAACCCTCGAACCATAAGATCAGCAAGGCAAACAAATCAAAAGGAAGAGCGACATTTACAAACATTATCGGAGAGTAGAGTAGCTACGCCAATGCCCTGAGAATAGACAATAAATTACGATCATAGGAATGAATCTCCATAAGTACTATACAAAGTTAACGCCATATATATTGCTGACTCATTTAGCGCTCTTATTTTCAGGAACATACCTCCGCGTTAAACGGGATATGACTGTAGATAACTTGCTAAGCAAATTTGAATATGTTTGGCTGCGATCAACAAACTGAGTCGTTTGCATAAGTAAAACGTCCCCGGTTTGTGATATCCGTTATATTCGCAACTCTACAACACTTTTGCTATAAGACATCAGCTATTGCATCACAGGAAGAACAATTTTTCTGAAGCTCGATCTGCCTCTACGCTGTGTGTCTTCCGGTAGAAGACTGCCGTGTTTCAGCTCCCACAAGAGAAGCTCGCGAACTGCAGTAATGGTTTATGTTTAACCACTTTGCTTAACGAATCTTTTAACGTAACTTGTTTATTCACAAAGCACAAACGTGCTCGGAAAGAACATAGTTGCACGTTACATGGTCCTGCCACTTAACCACCACTATGCGTCAGAGCAAATGTTCACGGGTCAGTCGTCCATCCTGGCACTTAGATAAACTGTTTCTACGCTTTCTATGCAAAGCAGATACTGACAGCGAAGCAAGGCAATTTAGTTTAATTTGACTAGGTGCACATCTCCTCTAAACCGGGTCTCGAAGCATATGTTGCTTACAGATGGAGACGAAGTCGCTTAACTAAAGTATGGTAAGTAGCATCCGAGCACAAATAATCCGCAGAATCATCTTGAATGATCTTTTGCCTACCACGCTCACCACCAAAAAAGTTTTAGCAAGAGGAGGTTCCATTTACGCTACCGCGAAGCATCGAACATACCTGTTTTGTACTAAAATGCTAATGAAGGCGTAAAGCCAAAAGCAACTTTCAGGTCTGGTACCGCCCTTTGCCCTCAATGCCTCAGGCCTACATAACATACTGCAGTTTTATCGTATTTAAGCATCTGTAGTACCTGCAAGAATCAATTTACCAGTTCAATCAGTGCCTTGTTAATTGCCAAGTCTGCTTCAGCCACCGGTACGCATCATGTGCCTTAGAAAAATGTTAACACCAGTGCGTTCAGGGACGTGTCATGAAATATAAAACCTGCTTTGCATGCATAATAAGCTTATTAACTAACTAAGGGCGTATAAACCCAATAATTCTGCGTTTAACAATATCATAATTTTATTTATAAATAGACAGGAATTCGTTCGAAAGTTCGTTGTTATACTAAAGACATTACAATGCAAAAGGTTAATTGTACACCAAATTATAAAGCACTCGAACTATAAAACATGAGACAAATTTCAGTTTCTTTAAGATTCTTACGAGCGACTACAGCTTTATGGCATCTTAACATCTTAACCATCGTCTTACTCATCATTGGCACATACGGCAGCAGACTACTGAAAGACAACTGCTCGCGAGAAACGTCTTTTTAGCCAAAACATGATGCAGCAAACATTTACATACCTTCAATGAAAAATGGCATTAGACAAATGAATATTTACAGAAGTATATATTTATTGACAATCTAGTGATGTAACACCGAAAGTCATCCAACACAACTACATACATACATACATACATACATACATACATACATACATACATACATACATACATACATACATACATGATTATTCTAGCATGATTTCCGCTGTTATATAACAAGATTGTCAATAATTATATTTCTTGAGCTCGCACGCATCTCTCGTTACGAACTCATCACCTTACTATTCCAACGTTGTCTTTATACGTAATACTTTCAATACGTATCAAGCATATCCACGACCATGGAAACAAAACAGAGCTAGTCATCCAAAAAATGGGAGGGAAACCACACCAGATATTATCCTACCAACAGGTGGTTCATCACATTGAAATGCAAGATTTTACGAATCTTGGTCCAAATTTTACAGTGACTGTGCATTTCCTGAATCTGATCTAAACAGCCCAATTAATTAAATAAAAAAAGTATTTAAATAAACTAACAGTTGTCAACAACAATGAAAACCAGCGCCTAGACCCATTTAAAACTCCTTTTGAAGAACATCTACTGCATTGAAAATTATAGCGAGCACTTAAAAAATTACTTTATCACCTAAAATAATTCACTGTCTACACTCATTGTCTTGTACACACAGCGTCACTTGCAGGGACCGTTACGTTAGCTATATATCTAGCAATGTACATGGACCAAGGCCACAAACAAATATCCGATACGTACTTATGTTTACTACTATAACAGTTCGATGTGGCTAGAGTAAAATATTAACTTTCATAACTATGAAAGCATTAAAATATGCATATCGCAAGCGGGTACGTAAGGAAATGCAACTAAATGTTACCGCTTGTCTGGCCGCACGTTTGTCCGCTTTCGCCTGAAGTTTTGCCAACTTTTTCTTTCCCAACTTTCCTTCGGTCTGGTCGATTTCGGGTGACGATTCTTCGCCTTCAGATTCATCGCTTTCCTCTCTGACAACCCTACGTCTAACCGCAGTTTGTCGTTGACCACCGACTAAAACACAAACGTCAGTTATGGGCCAAATAACGAAACTGAAAGGTACTTATTCGCCGGTGTCCAGCACTCCTGTTATGGTCGATGTGGAGAGGCATACCGATAGTTCTATGAATCTCTGGCTTGCTCTCTTTTTCAAACAACTTGTAGATCGATATCGAAATCAGTATCATAAACACCAGCAGGATGGAAGCAGAACAGATGAACAGCGGATCCATTGTAACTTCAAATTAACCAAAAGCAAAATTAAAATTAAACATAAGTATAACATAAACATAATATTAAATACGAAACAGTAGCCAAACGCGCAATTTTCAATGCACAGCTTACAGGAAGAACGTCAGCATCACAGATATCTCGAACTCCGTATGAATGAAACCCTCAATCAGAACAAAGATGCTACTAAGATATACAGATCGGATATTCTATCTTCTCAGATCAGTGAGTTTACAAGCCCCTCAACAGTTTGGCACTTCTAGCTTCGGGGTCTATTTTCTGCAACCACACGCATATTTGCTGACGCACGAAAGATAGATGGATGACAGTTTGTCAAAACGTGGTGCTTAGCTCTCTCACATGGGTGAAACTGTAAAATCAAATTATGTAACCGAACCGCGAGAAAAGTCAACCAGTCCATCAAATGTTGATCTTGCAAGAATACTCCGAGACTGGATGCACATCAAACTTTGAACTGCACCAATGTATCTTAAAAATTTTTCATAACTTACATCACCTAGTGACGTTATCAGGTTGGTCAACACGAATTTCTGCAGAATATCTGGGTTAACTTAATCTGGTAGCTTTGCCAGACCAGTAGTCAGTCATCAGCATCTGTTCGTTTGTTACTCGGCGATACTATCGCACTTTAAAGATGTTGAACAAACAGCGTTAGTGGAAGCTGTTTATACGAGGGCCATGACGCTTCAGAACAGCATATGTTTCGAGACATGAGCTTCACGAATACGACGGTTTTCAGGATGGTGATTTTCGTATATGTCCTTATAGCGCGATCCATCGACATGTCATACGGCTTGATAAAATTCGCTGATGCCAGTCCGAAATGTCGATCCACTATAGGATCAATGTCGCCAGCCATCGCTAATCGTTAGCCAACACAGTTCCGAGGTACTCGAAATGGTATACCTCATCCATCGTAATACCACAGCATAATATCCTTGGACATCCGGTCGTGACCGGTGTTCTCATAAGTTTCGTCCTTTTTGCGTTCATTTGTAGTCCCACCCTCAGAGCGGTGTTACATACTCCGCGACGTCATGGGCATACTGAAGTCCGGTAGGAATACCGAAGTGTATTTAGAGCTGCTATAAATCAAAATTACTCAGTGTCTAGCTTCTCATGTTAGAGCTGAAGTATATCAAACGTCGGTTGGGAGGATATTATGTAACTTGGAGCAAGGAGACAGAAGCAGATCGCTTTCAGAGAGGAATTCTCCTTCTATGCTACAGTAACCTGTGTCTTGCGAATATACATCGGGCATCAGAAATTAGAAGCGTACCGCGTACACAAACGGTTCAAAGTGATGATCTCAATAAACTTACCGAAGGGATCAAAAAGCAACATCATATTCGACACTTGATTGCCCCAAGACAATTATCCCTAAGGTAACCTTTCTGATACCTCTAATTTGAAATCAACAAAGTCAAAAGAATTGAAGGCTTCTCTTTGACCGTCTGTATTCGTACTGAAAGGCAAAACTAGTGGAGCTTT